TAGATGTACCAGATACTTGCACTTCCCTTCTTTCACTCTTTGGGCTCTCTGTCTGTCCCTATATAGACACATGAGAACTGAATATACTGCATAGGGAATGAACAGAAACTCATGCAGCGTAAAAAGTCATACGTCGACGCCTCCAGCTGCACCCCTACTTATTGTTTTAAATGCCACCGATAAAAGGCAAACATCTAAAATGGAATCTTTATGGCTATTTTTTTTACATGTTTTGTTTTGAGTTCATCTGCAAACTGAGATGTGAAATAAACAGTAGTTAAACATATTTCTCTACAAAATCTCCTTTACTGGATTTAAATGTTCTTTTTTTAAAAATTGTTGATATGCCATCGAAGCATTTGTATAAAAGTGTTCAGAAATCCCTCACCGTGTTAAGAACTGTGCCAAACAGCTAAACAGATGTAAAGTCAAAATGGGAGCCTCTGGGAGTAAGGGGAGAGAGTGTGTGTATGTGTGTGTGTGTGTGTGTGTGTGTGTGTGTGTGTGTGTGTGTGTGTGTGTGTGTGTGTGTGTGTGTGTGTGTGTGTGTGTGTGTGTGTGTGTGCAGGTGTGTGACCTATGTGGTGTAGTGATGCGCTGATCTCTCTCTCTCTTGGCCCTGTTCCTAAACTCTTTATCTCCAGGAGTGTTGAAACTGCCTGATGGCAAGTTCTTCTTAGGAAACTCTTACACATCCAGTTTTAGTTTCCTCTCACATCTCATTTTCGACTGTATTCTGAGTTGCTTATCTTTGCTGCTAAACTTGATTAGTGGAAAAATACAGAACGATGGTCAGCTGTCACGCTTGCTTTTAAAAAAAAAATAATAATAATAATTTTTTTACCTTTGAGTAAAATAATTGAATAATATGAAATCAAAGTACAGAACCCACATATTCATGGTCCTGAGTTTTATATCTTTAGCTTTCTAAAAAATACAAAAACCTGACCTTATATCTCAGCCACATGTTTTTGTTTTCTCTGGGATGGTTCATATTTTAATGAATCATTCAATAAATGACTTTCATTTGGATTAGAGTGCATTTTGAAATCTGTGTACAAATTAAAAGTGTTAACAAGCTATGATTTGTATGAATAAACGATAGTTCTAATGAGCTAAATTTGACTAAGATATCCTGCTCAAACTGTTAGACAAGTTGTTTCCTGTTGCTGTCACGTATCAAGCTTTTGATGGAAGATAATGTTTCCACCTTGAACCCTCAACATTAGGAGACATGGCATAAATATGCACTGTTGATCTGAATCCCCTTAATATGCCTCATCCTTATTTCAGTATGATATTCCCTGGCTTGATGTTCTCAAACTCAAATCAAGGCCACATTAGCTATTCCTTAAGATTCAGCTCATTAATGACATGCCATGGATCAAAGGGACTTTTTTAACCTTTTCTGCCAATGACCTAAATGTGCCTCTTGCAGCTATAAATTAATGTTTCCAAGGGATTAAGATCAGCAAATACCTCCCAATGGATAAAAGGATTGAGTTATAAAACATTTGTATGTATTTTCATATATGTATATTTTACGCTTTAATATTGACACTTATTCATTTAACCTTTTGACTCTGATTTATGATGCTTTGGGACTAATACCATTAATATTAGGAAAGGAGCTGCAGTGTTTTTTTACTCATCCACATGCTGTTTAATGGGATACACTTAATTGAATGTATCAATCTCACATTGTAGATTTATTCTTACCGGCATCATTTATGTTCTGACTTATGGATGCGTTCGTCGAGATGATGCATGCACCTTTGTCCCCTCTGTTGTTCTGCTGGTGGTTGGAGCTGGCTGACAGGTCCTCAGGGACGGCCATAGGCTCCTCTACATCCTCTGAAGCTTCATTGGCAGGGGGGCTGTCCCTGCCTTTGGAGACACATGCCAGCAGACACCAGTCACTCACCATGCAACCTCTCCATGAGCCTCATTCAGGTTGAGGCAAAATTACTTCCAGGTAGCGTAAGCGCTTGCTTGTGTGCCTATTGTATCTATTTCTGCCCTCTACGACTCAATCATGCAGTAGGTAGTCTTTTACCTGGCATTTGGGCCAATTCTTGAGCCTCCTCTGTCTCCATGCGGTGCAGGTACTCTAATAGGAGAGAAACGGAGATGTAAATGTGTAAGTTTAATCAAGGCAAGGCCAAGGAAACAACATTATAAAAAGCTAGAGTGGAGTAAAGGGGGCTCTTCTCAGTGTGACTTCATCACCTTAGTGAGATCACTCTTGTCACAGCTGCAGACACACCACTGTCCCCCACATTACATTACAAAGAATTACAGACATTTTCATTACAAGTCTGACAGAGAGAGTGAGCTTGGAGAGTAGCTTGGCTCCGGCTGATGGGGTCCGCTGGTAGCAAGGGGTTGGAAATGGGCTTTCAGAGCACATTTGTTATTTATTGTTAATTTCCTTCCACGTAATCATCCAAAAATGCAAACTGACTGCCGCAAAATTAAGCAGAAAATTAACTGGCCCCAGGTCACCAGGATGCGGGTGCCCAGCTGATCGGCGCTCATGTTCTCTCTAATTTACTGAGCATGCATCAGTGAGCCCGTGGCCTGAACATGGACGCATGCGAGCCACAATGAGAAACAAAGAGGGGAGAAAGAGAAAGAGGTAAGAGATAGAAGAAGACAGAAAATCTGCAAGATAGATCGAGGAATAGAGGTAGATAGTGAGTGCAGGAAGTCAGTGGAGCAAATGCAACAGGAAGGTGCAACCAAAAGAAAAAGAAGAGAAGCCAAAGGACAGAGAAGTTCTCTTTATTTATTTCTTAAGAGCCATCCTCCGGCCAGCACTGAATATCTGAGGAGTCACCAGTGCTCGTGGCCCCATTAATAATGGATGGCCCTGAAGCCTGCAGCAGATGGGCCAAACAGCCTCAGCCCCAACTCCGCCACTTCAAGAAGCCCTTGGTGGGGCCTCTGCCCAGTCCAAGCAGCCACTCAGGGAGAAGTGAAGCTCCCGAAAATAGCGAAATGAGCCCAAGGGAGAAGGGGAACCTAGGCCTTCCTGTTTTACTGACAGATGGCTCCACACTTTTGGAACAAATAGTGGGAAGCGGCCGGGCCGCTGTGTCGCAATGCACAATATTCTGCGGAGTCAAGTCAGGAGCCTGACGGTCTGAAGACGCCCAGGATGCAAGTGTGAAGGGAGGAGGGGGGCAAAGGTCACTGGTGCAGATGATTTTTTCAGCACAACATAGGGGCGTTGCGTGTTATTCTGCTAAGTGACGACTCTGCATTGTCGTTCTTCAGCATGTAGAGGATGAAGGCTGGGGCAGAGGGGGGTGTATTCTCATGTGCCCTTTTTTCAGGGCAGATGGTGCGCGGGAAACACGGATATGTTGGCGGGGGGCTTTGTCAAAAATATAAAGAGTTCCTACATTCTGCCACAACCCACTTGCGTAGGCATATGGAAAGTAAGGTGCACCTACAAGGTTCAGGAAGTAGCTCTTTTCTGTGTGATACTATTTTCATGCTGTTTTGACTTCGACCTCTTACAGACATTTTTAGTTTCATTTAAAACTTTTAAGTAGTATTTGAACCTTTACTCTAAAGTGTTGTCATTTGTCTGTGCCAGTTTTATGTCCCATGTTGAGATCAAAAATCTTAGCACAAGTGCTTTGTAAGGAATTTATTTTCATCCAACAAACCAATCAAACTAATTTTAGTTGTGTGTGTGTGTACGTGTGTGTTCAAACTGGGGGCAGGTGGAATTTTTCTGCCAGTGAAGTGGTAGTCGCACACTTCTGACACTTCTGACACATAACAAAAGGGGACTGGAAAAGTTTTGGTCTGAGTTTGCTGAGTGAGGAGAGGCAGGAAGAGGCTTGTGGGTTGAGAGAATTCTCGGTCCTCCTCTTCTTTAGTTTGTGTGTGTGTGTGTGTGTGTGTGTGTGTGTGTGTGTGTGTATGTGTGTGAGAGTGTGGTATATGGTGGGGTGGGGGTAGGGGGGGTGCTCAAAGTGATGTGCAAAAGCTACACTATTGAGCAGGGTGGAGATGAGAAACAACAAAACCGTTAACAGATACTGAGGACCACACCAGCAAAGTTTGGATACCCAGGAGGAATCTTAGACACTGGTGTGTGTGTTAGTGTGTGTGTGCGTGTGTGTGTGTGTGTGTGTGTGTGTGTGTGTGTGTGTGTGTATAAACCAGATACCAAACTCCCCTCCTGCATGCTCAAACACTAAACTAGTATTGGGAAAAGTATGTCACAAAATTGTAAATATTTGACGTCTTTTAGTTAAATTTGAATGAATAATACTGTCAGTAAATGTAGTATTTTTTCAAAATAACATCTAGGACTTCAGAGTGATTTCATTAAATGTGAAACCTTTAATTGTATGATTCAACATTTACAAACAATACAATTTAATTGAATGGGACTCCAATTTAATATTCTAATTTATTGGCTCATTACAACTTTTTCCTGTAATAAAATGTGTTATATTAATGATGCAAATAAGGGTGCAATGAATCAAATTTCATCATACATTAATTATGCTCTAACACTATTCAGATAAACAACCAATATCATGTAGATGATTTATCATCAGAAACTACCGAAAGCTTCCACTTGTAACATTTTTTATGCAGATAACTGATAATTCTTAAAAAATATTGTAATTAATAGTGTTCACTCTCCTCTGTTATATGAGGGGAAATGAAGCCGTGGGCATTTCTTATGCAGTAGGAAAATAATACCATCGTATGCCAAATATGTGGTGCATGGTCACCTGGAGATTCTAATCAGAAATTCATGAGATGTTTGGGTGTAAGTGGGTAGATAGTGTTAGCCGGGACCCTAATGAGGGGGTGAAAAGGTGCACTGAAGAGAAGTTTCCTTCATTTGCATCTGACACACTTCACTACTCTGCCATTCAGACAGTACAATCATTTTAATAACTGTCTGCCCTTTTTTACCCCCCCCCCCCCCCCCCCCACACACACACACACACACACACACACACACACACACCCTAGCACATGCACACACTTCTGTTTCTACTGACAAGAAAGATGATGTAGGATATCTGCAGACAGATTTGCAACACTTTCAGCACTTCTCTTTTCAACCGAGCCATGAAAAATCCTATTTGTGCAGGTACTGGGGTTCCTTTCCAAGTTTGAAAAATTATCTTGTAACTTTAATCTTTTTTTTTAACCAAGGGAAGGTGTTTTTGGTCAAATATTAAAACTAAGGCTGAATTTCATTGGATTTCCAAAAACTTTTAACTTCACTTTCACATTACTTACTCAAAGAATAATTTACTTTAAATAAACGTCATATATTTAACCTTTTTGAAAAATGCAGACAACTTGGAATAAATATTGGGACACTTTGCAAACACAGACACATTATCTCACAAACTCCACCTTAAATGTGTAGTCAAAAAATGTATTCTCATATGGTCATAAGCCAAATGTTTTTGTTTTTTTACTCAACTTCTTCAATTCAAAATGTTGGATTTTTTGCGACATGTTAAACTTCATTTCCTCATCAGTTTCAGAGTGATTCTTTCTGTTTGTTTTTCTGGGCGCTGGCGAACACTTCTCCATCTTTGTGTCAGCAGTGTCAAAAGTTTCACCAGTCCTGTCTACATGTGTTTTTTTGTCTCCACAAAGACGTTTAGCCTAACAACTGTCTGTGACTGTGGTTCACACAGATACATACGAATCTTAACGGGCTGAAAATGATTGATATCGAAAATTAACTTATTTAAACATTATAATGCAGTTTAAGACTGAGCGTAATGATTTCCTGTTGCAGCGCGAAATATTTTCACATGCCGTTTGAAGTTTTTACCCGAAAAGAAATGCGTCATTAAAAAAACAGATAAAGTCATTTTTAATTCAGAAAATGTGTATTTAAATAGTTAAACTTAAGATACACAGTGATATCTGAAGTTTACCGAGTGCGCACATCAGCAGCAACAGGTGCCATGACAGAGATGTAAAAACGTTATTAAAGGTAAAAGTTTTCAAAAAGTGTAAAACAGTAAGACATCCTAATGATCAGATCAGCATTTTTTTTAAGTTTTGAATTAAGTTTGTTTTGTGAAAAATGTAATCCCTGCTCCCAAAAGAAACAGGACGCATGGAAAATGAGGAACACTCCACGATTTCCTTTAAATTTCTTGACAATTATACGTTTAAACATTTTTGTTTTTCTGTATTTAAATTAAAAAGATGTTCTTGCTTTTTTAAAAATCCGTTACATGTTCTTCGCCTGAGGAGAATTACGCTCACTAAACGGGATCTGATGCTGCGGCGTGCACCTGCACCGAAACTACAAGGAGTCTTTTCCAGGCAGGTGCAAATGTCTCCTAAACATCTTAAGAAGACACAAACTCAGTTTAGAGTTCTGAGCTAGACTGTTAGGATTGTGTCGAGCTGAAAAGCACGGTGGAAATCACTTTACCTGCTATTCCTTGAGTTTGCAGAATGAAGTTCTTCCAACTCTCCCCGGCTCCATGTGCAGAAGGTCGCAGCGCCGCGGCGGCCCCATGGAGCTGCGCCCTGAGTCCCTCCCCTCTCCACTGCACTTCCTCGTTCCAGCCCAACATGACTATGTCTCTGAACTCGACTGGAGCATTTTGCTTGCTTTTATCCACAGGCCGAGTCTGCGGCGGGGAGTCGAGCCACCGAGCCCTTGGCACTTGCTTTGTGCCGTGCCAATAAAAGCTGACACCCAGTAGACCATTACTGGCAGCCATGCATGAGATGGGATGAGGCGCGCGAGGAGAGTGGACCATTCATTGTTTATTTATTTCATTCTCACCGAGGAAGCTGACGGGGGGAGCTCCTTACTTGCATATTGGACAGCTCCCCTTCTGTCACCTGTTCAGGCACGCTGAAGCAGTCCATGAAATTAAACAACTGTTTCCTTTCCTGTAATGAGTTTCATCTCTAAAATGTTTAATCCCTTTGACCCTATACTCTTCATCTGCACTGATTGTCCTTAAGTGTCAGAACCCATGTCCTTCCTTTTCACACCAGCAAAAGTCCACAATCTGGATATTTTGCCTGAACTTTAACAAATTGAATGAAACATTTTTTTCAGTGTTCTTCTTCAGGATGCAAACTGAGTGCATTATCACTTCAGTACTGACTCATCCTCATCATGCAGGTATTTATCATTTTCACAAATAAACATGTTTTTTCTTTTTACCTCATGGGTGTACAAACCATCACTGTGCCACTGGCGGTTTGAGTCCAAACCTATCAACTTGAACTAAAATCAATCACTTAAATCAAACGCTTTTGTTACAGACTTGAAACTGAGACAAATACATTAAATGTTAATTAATAAACCGTCGCTGCACTCTGAGCCTGCTGTCTACAGAACATACTGTGCATTTTTCATCCTCCAACATCATTCATGCAGATTGCACATCACACGTGATAGTGCTTCTGAGCAGAAGCCCGATATATGCACAACCTTTTCAAATGATAAATATGAACATTCCTGTTTTCCTATAATGAAATCAAAGTATCAAACTCCTGTACAGTCGAGTAGTTAAAATGCACAGTATGGAGGGCAGATTGTCAAACACCATTACACCAAATACAAATGGCGGATTAAAATTGATGGAAATTCTAAATAAATAATGAGTGACACCTCTGCTTCGACTAATATTACTTGTTTTCAAATATGTGCTGTCATTATATTCTCATGAATATCTGATATAGTGAATAGTTGCTGTAATTACTAAAATGTATACTATTGAAAGTACATAAATGTATTCTGTGCTCATTAAATTACAAGAGGTATTAATATTCCCCAAAGAGTGGTGGTTTGACTGAATTTGTTTTCCCTGTGTATCCCACTGTCCCCAGGCCTGCACAGCACTCTTATCTCAGGAGAAGTTGTGTGCTGGATTGCTGAGTCACCTTTCGTGGGAGGCTGCCCTTATCTCCTAAGAAGCACAACATTCAGGCAGTTGGTTGCAAAAGGAGGAACTTCAGGCAGGAGCCCTGTGGCCTGCTCTGTCTACACAACCATAATACCAATTGCAGCAACCATTGCTGACTTCCTCAAAGCCTCATGGCCAGCGCTGCTTTGTCGGTAAGGTCAGAGGGTACAGCTTTGGACACATGCGGGTGTGAATAGAGACACAGGATAAGCAACTCCTGAGGCCACACAGAGGGAATGCTGGGACTCATATGTGACTCAGCAGTAATCACCAAGTGCAGAGGGCTCCAATCAAGATACTGTCCCATCCCAGTGACGCAGCTGCTGCACTTACTATACATCTGTGAGGCAAAATACTTTTTAAAGAGGACACTACAGAGGTGGTCAATACTCACTGCTATAGCTTAATTAATGATCGTCATACTAATCTCTAATTATAAACTAGTCACGTGTAAGCCCCCAAACATTGAAGCAGAATTCTGAAAATGGAATAGAAGTTTTATTAGATAACTCAATTCTGCAGATTTGGGATTATATCACACATCTACATGCTGTAATCCATGGCTGCAAATATAACCAAACATAACCTTCTACTTCTCAAGGTCAATCTACAACCTGAAGAAAGCCATGTTGTTGTAATTAATATCATTACCTGGCAAGTCTCAAAACATCATCGGGGATGTAGCCAGTCGACTACGGAACAAAAGACTCCGTCTGGTTCTTATTTCATGGATCTTTAAGCAGTATTCACTGTTTCACATTTGGAAGCATGAGCAGCATGTAACCCTTAATTGGTTTCAACACCTTAATAAGTCAAAGACGTTCAGGACTGATAATCACATTAAATAGTCCAATTCATCTAAAAAGTCAATTGCAAACTGAAAACTCTCTTTCTTTAGGGATGCATTATGCTGTGAGGTTGTCAGAGTAAATTAAATTCCCCTCTGCACACTAAAGCATCTATTTCCTTATGGTAATTATCTGCTGGAATAGACGTGTCACTAGAAGGAGTCATGCATGCTTGACATTTAGCCTTTTTATGGAGAGGCGATGAGTAAAAATTAAGATGGGGAAAAGGAAATTAATCTGCAGCTCAGGCAGGCATTGAGAGATCCTGGAGGATAGTGGCTGAATCAATCATGATGTTTGTGAGCCTGTTTTGAAAAGAAGCCAATGATGAGATTCAGACCACGGGCTGGAAATCTGAGGAGAAGGAGGGGGGGGGGGGGGGGGTACTTCTCTAGCAAATAGTGAAAAGATTAAGATGAGAAGGTTTTGCACAATTGAATTGTTGACAACACAAAACATACAACACTTTTTAATTTTCTAAACCTCTTCATTTTGAAAAAGTAATTTTTAGATTTATATGGTAACAGCTAATCTCACACATCTCAATCTGGGAATTCCTGTTTTCATTTGTCACATTAAGATGTTCTGCTGATTGTTTCACCTTTCCCTGAACCAGTTAGATTATCATTTCCAGTCTTTATGCCAATCTAAGATACCTTTTCAACCCTGTAGCTCCATATCCAGGGTAAATCTAGGGAATTGTATCAATATTCCTTTTGAACCTTTTGCACTGAATCAAACAATGTTCCATCTTTCCTATCTGTAAGCACTTCTATCATATTACTGCATGTCACAAACTTTAAATATTCATGTATGATATATGTTCCTAACCATCTTCCCAGCTGTTCTTGGGCTCCCTTGTCTTGTAGTTTCCTCTAGACGTCCTGCTGCTGTGGACCCGTCTGCAGTGGCGATTCTAGAGTCTGTCAGGGGCCCAGGCAAACATTTCCTGGGGCCCTCTAAACGGGCATTCATCATATGTTACAAATAATAGTTATATTATCAGCATTTCGAGGGTACACTTTTATTTTCTCTTTTGTTGATGTCAGAAATGTAGAAGTAATGATCCAATGTCTTGTTTTTTTTTCTCGCTAATTGTGAGTGCTGTTTCATGGGGCCCTCTTAGGGAGGTTTTCTGTCATTGCAAAATTAGCACATTATGAGCCTCGGCTGTGGATAAAAGTTTGCTCAACGCTGGTTCGAGGGCCCCCCAGCTGATTTTTGCCTTGGATCCCAACAGACTCTAGAATCGCCTCTGGTCCCAAGCAGCACCTCTGCTCTTACTTCTATGATCATTCTAATAACTGTTGATGGGAATCAAAGAGTTGCCTAACTTCAGCTGCTATAATTAACATTATCAGTCGGCCCATTTTATATTGCCATTATAGTTTTTAATGTTAAAATTAGAATGATTGGACTATCATTTCATACCTTGTTGTTACTGATAATCCAACACATACATTACTGTCATTGTAGCTATACATCTGTTTTAGTCATGGTTGTTATTGCTCTGTTTGTCTCTACCCATTCTCTCTTCCTGCATCTCACTCTTGAAGCCCGGCAGATGGCTGTTCAATGACAATGCCATTTAGACAGAGTAGTTTGCTTGTAATTAAAAACAAATCAAATGATCTAATACTTGGTGCCATGGCTTCTTTTTGTTGTTGTAGTGGAGGTGAAACAGGTATTGGTATTGTTAGATTTTTACCAAAAATCCATCTACTAATCTACAACACTATAGATTTACTGCATTCACATCAACTGACAGAAAAAGAGTAGTGTTGACAATCTACAATGTTGTTGTAATGAGCAATCAGGACTTATTAGGGGAGCTATTTGCTTTTCAGTGCCATGTATGTTTGGCTAAGGAGTTGAGGATGAGCAGAGGTAGAGGGGATCTACCAGAAGAAAGAAACCTCAAAGGTTTCTGTAAATAAATGTGCAGGATGATATGGTTTGTTAAATGCTCCCATCAGCTTACATCTGGCTGTCACCTGTTTTATTCACAGTTGTAGGATATGTGAACCCTCGCCCTCACAGAGACGACAAAACTGATACAACGATGCTAGCAGTCATTTGAGCTAAATGCTGTTTATGGCCACTTGAACCCCTTAAAATATGTTTTGTCTTATTTTTCTACACATAACTACAAAATAAAACAAAATCTGATGTGAAGGTTTTAAGGCTTTGGATTTGTTAAAGTCAGATTCAACACAGCTGGACTGAGTAACAAAGTAAAGTTACATCTCCTGTAACTAATTATCTTGGATGTCGAGCAATTAAATGACTTTCTCAATGCATGTTGTGTAATCAGTCATCTAAAGGTTGTTCTGGAGGAGAACCACACAGTCTGTGAAAACCATTGTGTGCAGTGAAGTACAACAATACATTTAAGATATTGCACATGTAAGATATTGATTGGACTGGTGTTATGTTAGACACAACTTACTGTAGCCTTAGCCCCCTCACTCATCAGGGTGTTCAAATGAAAATCCTTGAGATATGTTAATCTTAATGATAAAACAAGAGATGAAGAGAAACAGGAAAACCAGCTCATCCCTATTTCCTGTCTAAGCGTAAAGCTGTACAAACCACAGACATGAAGCTATAGCGGGCAGACACTCAATAATGTTAATTTGCACTTGAGTCACATCTTGTGACTCAACTATCACACTAAGTGATGTGTGGTGCATAAACTGCAGGCTGTATATCAAATGTTCTGTCTGAAACTAGCTTGTGTTCATTCCAAAATAAATACTCCCTGGATCTTTTAAACCTTCCACTGGTTTTATAATGCTGTATATGTAATCTTTCAGGTGTAAATTCTCAGTTTGATCAATTTATTTACCATTCATGACAGAAACATAGAATGTGTGGACAGAATTACACAAACAGCCACACACAGTGAAAAAGTCAGTGAGTGAGTGGGTGGGAGAGCAAATGTGTAAAAAGGACAATGCGAGAGCTCACTACCCAGAGTTAGAAAACCACTCATCTAAATCAGGGAAATTATGATAATGGGGCATCTCATTATTCTCCTTCTCACCCTGAATCAGTCACTGACATCACATCATTATAGACCTATTCATATAAACAGATTAGATGGCATAAAAAGGAAGCTGGCACCTTCAGAACTTTCTCATCTTCTTTGTCTCAAGGCTTCTTGCAGGCATGTGTGTAAGGCAGGAAGCACAGGTCCCAGGAAGTGGTTGCAGGGGATACTGGTGGTCATATTTTAGCCCAACGTCGGACTCCCTTTTTTTGACTGCCCTGTGAAAAAAAAGTTATTTTTTTTCAGTAGATGTGAAATTATTTCAGATAATAAAACCCAGGAATCCAACAGTAATAATTATATCTAAAGAGCAAATAACGAGGACAGCTATAGAGTGCTATACAAAAGGCCTCTTGTGTAATGAGTGAGTGTTGGCAGCAAGGATCCAGAGGGTTTCTTACCGTTGCAGGCGACAGTTAATCAATCCAAACGCTTGTCTTTTTTTCTGTTTTGGGGAAAACATATGGAGGCCAGTCACATCAGCTAAGGAAACAGATCTCAGAGGGTGTTGGGCACCAAGTAAATGGATCTAGGTTGTGAAAACCACGATTACCACGAGCTGCTTTGGATTCAGCCATCTGGAGATGCTTGCTCCAAAAGACGGTAAAGTTCGCTTTCACTGGGGCCCAACTAGGAAACAGGTTTCCACCTCCCTGTTAGACCGCAGCACTCCCAGAGAGGAGGGATGACATGTGTTCAGCACATCATCATTCATTCATGTAAAAGCATATAATCATATCACAATCACAATTACAGCCCCTTTATAGTCATTAGTGTTTTATATCTGATCATCTTGAACTTAACTACTTTCATGTTTTTTGATACAAAATCATCAGAAATCTGCAACTGCTCTTTAAAAGGACGTTATTGTTTCGCTCAAATTAATTACTTGTAATATTTCCAGCAGTATTCCAACACTCCTAATTTACATCCTGTCTGTGAGGTTGTATATGACATCCATCTTTTTTATGTCTCTGTTTAAACATTTAAATGTTGTACTTAATTATGTATTATTTATTTTAATGTCACGATCCCACAAACCAAAAAAGAAAACACACATTTAGCTGATAGAGAAATGTTAAAGGTGATTAATTTCAATGATCAAATATCTACATGTAGAAATGCAAAATAAGGAAAATAAAAAAATATTAATTAATTTTATATTTGCGATTGTGAACTTCATTGTTATTGATTTTACAAACTGTGGAATATATGTATTCCTTATCTTTCATTCTTCTATAAAAAAAACTGTTTTATTATCTTTATATGGGAAAATGTAAATTCTGTTTGTCAGAAGTGGCACTGTGCATCCCAATCCTTTTCCTTATGAGTTGCAGCATTGTGTTTAGCTATTCAATTGTTTAAATCCCCTGGTGTGGATACAGACAAATACCTTCAGGTATAACTGTTTGTAAAATATGTTTTTTTTATAAAGCACTTTTCATGGAGTGAAAATCATTATCATGCTGTCTTAAAGTAACTGGTACGGAAGATTGCAGTAAAATATAACCACATCTGATGAAGTCAGAGTATTATAAAGGCATGATGTCAGTGAAGTGAGTAGGAACGCCCTCTAGTGGACATTTGTGATAATCGCTGGTCAATGTTTAATACTCAGATAAGAATTGTGTGTATGTGGACATGGGCAGGTAGGATTTTTGTGGGGATGGAGTGGGAGAAAAGAAGCTCTCTGTGAAACAGTAGAAACACCTGAATGTTAACAGAATAGAAAAACAAAAACATACATTGTTGAGTAAGACCTACTAAGTGAGAATTGTTGGATGAGGGATTATTTTGCTGCCTGTAAAAGTGCCCTCAGAAAAGTTACTGTCAAACATTCACACAAGCATAATCAACCACATATGCCTGATCACATTTCTCTCTTTTTTGCCCTTTGTTGTAAGTCTGTCAACTGTCTAATTGCCTAGCTTTTATTCCGTCATCTTGTAATGGCGGGGCGGTTAAAGTAAGGACTTACCCAGTGGAGTGTGCAGAAACTGCAGTACTTTCGAAGAGTAAGTGTGGGCAGCTTTGTTTAAGTATGCAGGGATCTGGAGTAAACAGATAATAGGGGTGGCATGGCGTCTCTCAACCAGAAGGTCGAGGTTCGATTCTGAACTCCGGCAGCTACATGTCCGATGTGTCCTTGGGCAAGACACATAACCCCAAGTTGCTCCATTTGCTTCTTCAGTGGTGAATGAGTGTCATAGCAACCTCTGCCATCACTGTGTTAATGGGTAGGCTTTGAGTAGTTAGAGAAGTCAGAAGACCAGAAAAGCGCTCTACAAGCTCAAGTCCATTCACAATTACATATCAATATGTTTACACTTTAAGGAGGCCAAACATCACTGTTGAGAGGAATCACAACGGCAGCTCTACTCACATTGTAATCAGAGGCAGTCATACAGCTACACGTATAGAAGACACTCAAAGCAGGTCAATGCTATGGAAACACATCGGTTACCAGGCTCCTTTTAAAAAGAACCTCAGTTATAATTGTCCCATTCATCGCAACTCACCATATAAATATACATATAAACTATATATATATATATATATATATACAATAAACATATACAACTAACACAACACATATTCACTTCTGCAGTCTGAAGTGTTCATGTGGTTAGTTTTATTTTGAATTTTATTTAAAGAAATATTAAAAAAACAACAACACTGTAGTTCAGCTGTGTGTTGAAGTCACTGATAGCCTCTGCTATCTGCAAAGTATGGTCAGCCGGGTCTATAGGCTATACTCTAATACACATCAATGGAAGAGTTCTTTTTCTATGCCAATCTTTCAATAAAAAAAAGAACACACAAAAGACATTTGAACGTAGTAAATGAATAACAAGAGAGAACAATTCTTAGGGGGTAAATGATGACGTTTACTACTGGATTATGGTCAGACAGAAAGGACTGTTTATAAAAAGACACAAAGAATTAAATGGTTGAACAAAAAATATAAATTATAAAAAAAAAAAAAAAAATAGGAAGCATTTTAATAATTCAAAAGTTTAATTTAAACATTACCTTACCTTTAATGTAGAGAGAATTTCAATCATTTTGCAGGAGGGGGCCCCTGCTACATGTTAATCCTATATGGGGGTCCCTGGCATGTCAAAGTTTGGGACCCCCGCCCTATAGCATATATAATTGCCAATGCTGTTCTGAAGAAGACCTGAAACTAAAAGAGCACACACTGTTTTGGTAAATGTTTTCTGAGGCAACAACTCCTCTAAGGGATTTTCATAATTGGTTCCATAAAATCAAGCTTCTTTTTGCGACCCGTAGAGCCAAGACATACATTCAAACATACACAATAAAGATTATAAAATAAAATAAAGATCTAAATAAATTATTTTGTATTAACCCTTTATATTTTAAAGCTAGGCTAAAGCAAGGTTTTACATTTCTATTTGAAGATATCAAGTCTCGAGGCTGCTCTCAGATCCTCAGGTAGAATAATCCAACAGGATGAGCCGAGCATGAAAGCTAAGCGTTGACTAAGCCCTTTGACATTTAATCAGAAGCTGACTAGTTGAAATTTAAGGAATTGACATTTCAACATGTCAAATTTGAACAG